GACAGCTCTTGAACAAGATTGTAGGTAGCCTCCCCTCACCGAGAGGGACGTAACTAACACTGCACCCCTGTTTTGTAGCAAGCGTTCCGACGTTATCCCGCCCTCAAGGATCGGTTCAACAGTGTTGTCGTTACATTCTTCAAGAACTCTATGACGCCAACGACCAAACTGGTCACCGACATGGTCAGCATGCAAGCTTGCTACATCAACACCACCCACCCCGACTTCATCAACGGACACAAAGCCATGTCCATAGTCCAAGATCGCCTAGCTCTGAACAAACCCGCGACGCCTACACCCGATCCCAAGTCTGGCAAGCTCGCGCCCGGTGCGATCAACAACAACAGGGATTTGGATGTTGAGGCGAAGAAGGAGGAGCCTAGTTTCTTTGGGAGTTTCTTTGCGGGATCGAAAGCAACGCAGAAGAAGAAGAATCCTAATGCGCCGGTGATTGAGGCACCTCCTCCGATTATCAAACCTCAGGCGGCATTGAACGAGAGGGAGACGATGGAGACGGAAGTTATCAGTGCGTTCTTATTCAGTTTGCTTTCAAAAGTTTCATACATTCTGACTTGATGTGAATTGGTACATACAGAGCTTCTTATCCACTCGTACTTCAATATCGTCAAACGAGAGATGATTGATATGGTTCCGAAAGCTATTACGCTCACATTGATCAACCACGCGAAGGAGCAGTTACAGGGAGTGCTGTTGCAAGAACTATACAAGCCCGACGTGTTGGAAGAGTTGTTGAAGGAGAGCGAATACGTGGTGAACAGGAGGAAGGAGGTCGTCAGTATGGTGCAGGCCCTGAACAAAGCAGAGGAGTACGTCCCTTTGACGGCTCATAACTTTAATTCGCTTTGCTAACCTCGCGGTTTTTTCTTTTAGGATCGTCGCGGGTGTCTAATGGTCAACATTCTTTTCCTTATCCTGGTCTTCTCTAGTACACTCCTGTTACTCGTTCATCGGATATTCTAATCGCAATACACCCCCTTTCGGCTTCTCCTTTCCTCCCCGTGCTCCGTGTGGTCCATTTAGAGCTCCTCGTAATCGTGTGTTGATTCCCGCTTCCTATTTTTTTAGTTCTCTCTCAGTACCATGCCTTACCCTTCCCTACTACAACACATACAGCTCAGGCAATTTGTTTAGGTAGCCTATCTCGGAGAATGGATTAGAGGGTTTCTTCCAAATGCTTTTTGGTTCCGCACTTACCTCCTTTTGCACGTTATCCCCGTCCCCGCATAATGCATTGAACGTTCCAGAGTTGCTACTACTCCGAGCGAAAACAGTGTTAGACAGTTTAGACTACTCAGTACTGCTTCGAACTCTGCTTTCCCCCGCGTTTTCTTGAACGGGGTTGCCAAGCTAGACTAAGTGATAGCGCCGACGAACATTCAAAACGTTCCTTCATCAGTCGACACACACATATACACATATACACATATCAGGGTTCATTTCATCCGTAACAGGGGGAAAGTATTCATCAGCGTCAAAAGAGCAAGAGGAGATCAATGGTGTGATTGATTATCACCTGCGGCACTCGTTGAATCGACATGAATGAAAGGGTCTTTCCATTGTTCAGCCAACCATCAATCAAACTGAGGCTCAGTCGCAATAGTTCTCACAGGAATGAATCATTCAAAAGAAAACTCGGAGCGCACCCGGTGTGTGCGTGTGTGTGGAAAAACCGTGGAAAGGGAACGCTAAGCCGAATATGTATGTCAAGGAAGAAGACAAAGCTGTTCTGATTAAGAGGGCATCTAAATACAGAAGTGGAGATAAGAACTATCGATAAGAGATGAACAAACGGAGCCCCCGCCGCCGTGCGTAGGTCGTGATGTGATCCCGATAGTATTAGTATTCCCTCATAACGACTTGCTGCGCGCAGGTTCCAGGTTTCCCCCAATCCCCGACAAACGATTCCGAGAGAACACAAAGATAGACAGATCCCGAGTATGTCAGCACCCGGCTCCGAGACGGAGAGCGAGTCAAGCTGAGGTAGCTAAGTATGAGGCGGTCCAGGGTTTTAGATCATCAAGGAACTCCACCTCGGGCGGTCGGACCTGTGCCATCGCATCATGAAAGGAGAGGCTAGGACATGATCCAGTGAGATCGAAGCGACGGAATATACGACCAAGGGCAAGGTGTGCTGGTTGAACGTTCTTTGTCGACGATGCGAAAGGGATCGAGGTGGCGAAAGTAAGGCGGGAGCGGCATGTGAAAAAGGAGTCGTGTGACCAATGGCTGTGTTGCTTGCCGAGGTGGCGTCACACGGGTCATCAAGGATCAACCGATGGGCGCTACGGAAACGGTGTGACAGGAGTTAAAATGTGTCCAAAAAGCTTGAAATTGGGGACTTTTTGCAGTCGTGGAGGCTGGTACCTTGCTGGAATGCTCATAGAGAGGTAGAACAGAAAGCATCTTGAAAGAATCTGCAATGAAAATGGGCGAAAACAGCTCAGAGAATCAATGATAGAGGGATCAACAAAGGACTGACGTGGCCAATGCGTGGTCGTCAAGGAGGAGTCATCGGCTGACTGAAAGGGCCCTAACACTGAAAGTTTTCAGCGTAAAGATTCCAAATTTTCACAAATAACTCCTTGAACGGGCTTGAAAAAGTTCCTGGCGATATTGGGTGCAGTGGAAGGAAGATTAGGGCGAAGGGCAACTGGGAAATGTGGAAGCGATGGGTGCGATGTGGAAGAATGGAAGGGGCAACATGTGACGTAACGATTGGTAACGGGCGCTGATGAAATATGTTCGGAGTCTGGCGGAGCTTGAATCCTCTGGTATATAAAGAGCAAACAGTTTTTGATTTCGACCCCCATTCCCACGGTCCGGTCTGCAGAAAAAAAATTTCATCCGTCAATGTCGTTCGCTCTTCCCGCTCGTCAAGTTACCTTTGGTCGTTCCAATGTCTCTTTACAACAACAGCAGCAGTATCAGCAGCAGCAACAACAGCAGGCCCAGTTGCGTCAGCAACAACAACAACAACAACAACAGCAGCAGCAACAGCAGCAGCAACAACAGGCTCAGCAGCAGCAGCCATCAAATGGCTTAGCTTTGCCAACATCCAACCCTTACCTGTCGCGTCCTGGAGGCGGTCTCGCGTTACCCGGTCCTTCACCACTCTCAAATTCATTCCAACCTCCCTCTAATCCTCAGCCTACCACCACTACCCAGTCATCATCGCAGCCGGCGTCCTCATCGTCGTCGCCACCTCCCACCGCGAACGCGGTCGCAGGCCCTTCTACCCCGACAGCTGCTGCTGCTACACCCAAACCTCTCACTCTCGAACAACAACATATCACCGCTGTCGAGGGCATCGTTCCCACTCTCCAAAACATTGTCGCCACCGTCAACCTCGACTGTCGGTTAGATCTCAAAACTATTGCCCTGCACGCGCGTAATGCGGAGTACAATCCCAAGGTTGGTTAAACATTCATTGGGTTTTGATTACTGTGATGCCCAACTGCGTTTGCCTTATTAGCGTTTCGCCGCCGTCATCATGCGTATCCGTGACCCGAAGACCACCGCTCTCATTTTCGCCTCTGGGAAGATGGTGGTGACGGGTGCCAAGTCGGAGGATGACTCGAGACTGGCGTCGCGGAAATACGCGCGTATCGTTCAGAAGCTCGGCTTCGACGCCAAGTTCTCCGAGTTCAAAATCCAAAACATTGTTGGCAGTTGTGATGTCAAGTTCCCCATTCGGTTGGAGGGTCTCGCTTACAGCCACGGACAGTTCAGTAGTTACGAGCCAGAGGTGCGTTCGACTATCTTCCTCCACATCCATTACATACTGATGGTCGGCTATAGTTGTTCCCTGGTCTCATCTACCGCATGATGAAGCCGAAAGTCGTGTTACTCATCTTCGTTTCAGGAAAGATCGTGCTTACTGGTGCTAAGGTAAAGTTCTGTTTTGATCATCCTTCACACCTCGCCTGGTATCATGACGCGCTTACGGCGCCCATGCTCTATCATGGCAAGTGGCGTACGTTGTCTAGCCATTCATCACCTCGTCGACCCTGGGGCTAAAGGCTCCTGACGTTGACTCTGCGATGGGGCGCGACGTACACCACGATGTTGGCGTGCAGTGGATTTTGTCATTCGTCAACAAACATCCGCTGATACCCTCCTGCCACAACCATTAGGTCCGAGAAGAGATCTACACGGCATTCAACCAGATATATACTGTGTTGTGTGAATTCAGGAAACCGTGATCGCCTCAGGACCTTAAGCCCTGTATGTTCTTCGTCATCGTCCTCTCAGCCTTCCTGCCCGACCTCGCCGACCTACTTTTTTTGTTCGCCCTTTTCCAACGTTATCATTATTCCTTTATGCAACCATACCTTCACACATCTTCACTACGGCTGGCACGGTTATTGGGCTCGGATGGTTGATGCGGTGGCGATTAGACCTTGACATTGACGATGACTCCCCCATTCTATAAAATAAACTCCCAGTAGTAATGGCTCCTCCCGACGACGACACCTCAAACGAACTCTCTGTGTATTACTTGTCTTTCCTCTTTTCCATCCTCTCTGTGTTTGGGCTTCTTTTACTTCGTTCTTCTCTTTAGCAGCAATTACCATCATCTCCCCACCTATCCAAGCAATACAATTTTCTCTACCTCTATCCATACGCAATACATACAATTACCACGCATTAGTTTTTCTTTTTTTTTCTCTTGCACGTACTACGGTACTTGGAGTTTTTTTTTCGGTTTGTTCTATGGTACCCTACTTCAGATGAAGAATATAGAACGATTTGTGAACCGAAAACTTGCCATGAGATGAGGTTGTTTTGAACTTTGAATCGTCGGAAAATTAACATAGTGCCGTTCAGCATCTGCTCTTGACTACGCTCTGAACCGACGCTGGTGGTCCTCTGTACGTGTGCCTTGCTCGTGCAAAAGCAAGGAGAAGCACTGAGCGGGAGCTCAAGTATAAGAAGCGAATGCATCTCTGGGGATCAATGGTGGCCTTGGAACTGTCGACGGGCACATGGTGTAGGGGTTATCACGTTCGCTTTGCATTCCTGGTGTAGGCGTGACATGCGAAAGGTCTCCGGTTCAATTCCGGATGTGTCCAAGCTATCGATTTTTTTCAACCTATTAACAGCCATCCGAGTCGGAAAAGTCAGTACTAGTCATGCAACCAGTGTGGAAGGTACAGTGCATTCAATGTAGTTATTAGGATATATGTAAAACAGCCATTACAATAGTCGGCGGTACTAAGCATTTCCAAATTGTGTGTACACTGAATTATCCGTGAAGTAAGACTCTGGAACCCAGCTAGTTACATGAACACGATTGAAAAAGACCCCCAAAAGTCCCCAGTGTTGACCGTAGCAAGTCGTAAATGAACATGACCGGGATCGACGTTGCCCATCGAGCACGATACTAGGCCTTTCAACCAAGGATCACCGGCACCGTTGTCCGGGTCTTTGGCTGATGAATCGCGTCCATTCACGATCCGGCCGTGTTTGCCTCCTTTCCCTCGTCCATTCAAGAGATCGCTCAAAGAGCAACGATTGCGCGGTTCGGATTGTAACATGCGCCGAAGAGCGGGCCGGGTCTCGTGTGGCAGGAGGTATAAAGCTGAATTGATGTCGTCGGAAGCTTCAGACCCCAGGGGTTTGGCGAGCCAACGTACAGTCGTGGAGGTCCCAAAGCTAGAATCCTTCCCCACATCATAAGGAAGTTTCGAAAGTCTGTGGGGACATCGCAGCATGAGACGTACGAACATGACCCCGACATTCCATATATCGACTTTACGAGGGTCCTCATCGACATCAACCCCAACAGCGCCCTTTTTTCTGGAACGACGGTGGGACGTGGTAGATGCACCAAGGTCGATGATTTTAACCACGTTATCCCGGTTGATCAGGCAATTCTCCAGTCGAAGGTCCCCGTGGGTGAGGCCGCGCGAATGTAAATAGTCCACGCCGTCACATATCTGACGAAATATGCAGTATGTCTCCGCACGGCTCATCTTTCCTGTGATGGCGAGCGCGTATAGCGTGTATGGAGCATACTCCATGATCTAGAAGGATAGAAATCGGGCTGGTGAGCGTGCCGAGCCGGCGACTTTCCGAATGAGAGTGCTTACCTCGTAGTACCGACCCTTCTCATTAACGAGATCGAAGGTTTTGACGATATTAGGATGATCCAACGCTTTCCAAGCGCAATAGCCAGCGTTGATCTTCTCCCTATGTTTGCTTTTTGATTTCCGTGTGTGTTTTCGATAGACTTCCTTGACAGCATAGATGATGCCGTCGTGTTTCGATGGGTCCTGAATTACACGAACCACACCGCATGGTCTCGACACAATGATACGACCACGCCGGCCATACTTCTCAAAAAGAGATGACTGAGTAGCCTCCGAAACAGCACGTAGATGGACCGGAGAAGCAGCCTCCGGCAGATGAGAGAGAGGGACACCGATGTGTTCCTTGTTGAAACGCAATGAGAAATCCCCCGGTGGAGTCGACTTGGACTGTTTGTTAAGAACAGTGATGGATTTGTCAGAGCAATGGGGCAGGGGTGAAAGTGTGGGATACTCCGGAGGTGCTGGTGAGTACTGAGGAGGGTCAGATGTAGGCTCCGACGGGGGTGAATAGTGAGGAAGAGGTTCATGGGGGGATTGGTACAAGGAAGGGAGGTGGTGTGGACCGCAGTCGCAGGATGGAGAGGAGACATATACAGGAATAGGCACGAAGAGGCTTGTCCTGGGCGCATCGGAATCGTCGGGCCTGTTAACGTAGATGTTGTGGGTGTGCTGCGAGTGGTCGTTGAAGTTGTTGGTGACATTGCCAGCGACGTTAGAGAGATTTGGACTGCCGTCAATAGTAACATGCCTGGCGTTCGGTAGAAACTGGATCCACTGCTTAGTGGTATTTGTGACCGCCGGTTCTGTCCCCTCTGTCCCCTGGTTTCGAAGGTCGTCCGGTGCTACGCTGGCCGGACCTGCTATCCGTGAGTTTATCGCCCTTCCGTCGCCTTCGCGACGAGCTGCCTCCGCGGCTTGGCATGTCGTGGTTGAATCACTACCTCGGTTGTCAACAACATTTGCGTCGTCGAGCCTCTCATTGGGCTCGCTCGCCGACCCCGACGGGTTCGACTGCTTCGGAGCGTCGCACAACTTCCAAGCCGAGTGACACGTCGGAGTAATCATTTCCTTCGAGACATTCTCGTCCTGAGAAGGCGTCGGCTCTAAGTCGTCAATGCTGACCTCGACGTGGTTGAGATGATGGGCCAACGACGAAGAGCTAGCAGGTCGGTAACGCTTCAGCACAACGACATTCGCCACTGGAAGGGGGTCTCACCTGTTGCAACCACTCTGAGATTCTTGTGCGACGACCGTTGCAACTTCCTTGGGCTGGACCTCCCTGTGAGTTTGGCTGGCAGCTATGAGCCGAGGGTCTGTGGGGGCAACACCCCGATGCGATCCACTTTCTGCACCGTCCGGGTCTTTACGATGCCCACGCCCTCTGGAGCATCTGCCAAAACCTAAAATGTGAAGAAACACGGCATTTCTCGCATGCATCATCCTTTCCCTCCTCCCAGAAGTGAGGAAGTGCACGCGTGCAGGCGCCCTTGAGGAAACAAGCAGCACCATAATCCTGGTGGTAACTTCACCTTGAAGGTGTATTTCTGAGGAGAGTAATACATGATAAGGCCAGGTATAAACATTTATGCACCCTTGGGCTGTTGAGCGTACCCGTAAACCGGTTTCTACGAATGTCAGTCGGGATTGCCCTAACTTAACTTGACTCCGCAGTTGACGGGGGAAATCGACTATCTGAATTGTGTAAAACGCTTGGTTCAGAATAGAGAAGGGTGGTGCAATATTCTGGTGCCACTATATGTGAAGCCCGACAGGATCTGCGATAATCAATGAGCCGATGTTCTGTAACTCTCAACGATCCGATGTCCACGCTCTTGACCCAAGAGATGTCGCGGGAGGAACTTGGGGGGTTGGGGGGTTCAGAAAATTGTAGCAGTTTGCAACAGAGATGCATAATTCGAAGCCCCATACGGATACCTAGCGTCAGGAGCAATATCTCAGAGGTCATGGCATGTCGACAGGTGGTGGTTGAGAACTCAGAAGGACAAAGACCCCTGTGGGAATAAGTTACCTAGAAGGATTTCAAGAAAATGATGCTCGCGACCTCTCTTGACCATCACCAAATCGAGCATCCTTTGGCATCGGCCGTTAATGTTACCCTCCACCCACTTTACTTGCTGTATGTGTATGAGACTACCTTCATTCGACCTCTAGCTAGAGCATGGCACCATCTTCTCTTTCGGCAGTGGCATGGGAGAACGACCAAACCCGCTAAAGTCGGATCCCCTTCTAGGTAAACTCAAAACACTAGCATTCTGCAAGTGAGTCTGCTTTGCCTTGTCACGTCAATCGCTAGTTAAAATTAGGTCAAATCGGAAGATAAGGTTCCCCGACCATGACATGCGAACCTTGTTGGACGAAGTTGAATGTTCAACATTTTACCACAGCAACTAACCAGAATCTCTCGGAGATCGTGTCGGCCTACAGCACAACTCCAGCGTGTACGAACGTGAACGATGCTTGAAACCCGATGAATCACAGCATAGCGATTCGGGCGCCCATTGAATCCTACCACTGACACAACCCTACTCCTGAAGCCGTGAAGCTATTATGTATTCATACATGACGGGAAGACACGTTGGACGCAATGCGTGCAATACTTATATCCCTAGCTCAACTTTCGCTTCAAGAACCGCCCCGTCAGGAGAAACCATTCATTCTTCATCTTCATCTTCATCTCTCGTTTGAATCGGAATCATGACACTACCCATGACGCAGAACTCAGAACAAGCTGTTGCAGTATATTGTGGTTCATCTACAGGGAATCGTATTGCATATGTAGGGGCAGCAGAATGTAAGCTCGCATCTTTGTCGTTGCTTCCGTCACTGACCGGGCGTATTTCACCTAACTATAGCGCTAGGGAAAGCTTTAGCCAAAGCCCAGCGACCATTAGTCTACGGTGGAGGCACCCAGGGCCTCATGGGAGCGGTGTCTCGATCCGTGCTCGCAGAAGGAGGGAAAGTGACCGGTATCACTCTTCGCCCTTTCATGGAGAATGGTGGGGAGGGCGAGAAAGCGCCAGAGAAAGCGATACATCCGGAACGCAAGTATGAGATATCGAAGAGGGAGGTGCGCACCCAAGCAACGTATATGCTACATGACCGTGTGTTAACTTGATGATTCTATTGTATTAGCCGGAGACAGAGACAGTGAAGAGGTTTACTTCCAGTGTCTTCGGTATTACTGATCTTTTGGTTTCATTCCAGATTGTCGTCAACAGTTTGCATGCCCGGAAGCTCTTGATGTCCACAAGATCATCCGGCTTCGTGACTCTTCCCGGAGGGTTTGGGACCTATGATGAAGTGTGTGCTTTGCGCTCGTCCATTCTCTGTTGCTCGACCAACCCTCCCATCCCTTCATGACTAGGTTTTCGAAGCAACGACTTGGACACAAATCGGGATTCAGACTAAACGTTCGTTCATATGCTAGCATCTCTCTCACTTGCTAACTGTGACATTCCCATTTCACAGCGATCGTCGTTATCAACGTTTTGGGCTTTTACGACTCCCTGAAGCAACAAATCAAAGCGGCAATAGAAGCTGGTTTTGTTGAGCCTCATAACGAATCACTAGTCGTATTCGTTGATGGCCCGGAAGACATGGATCAGCATGAGACGTTCGATTGGGGGCTTGCTGCTTTGGGTGCGCTAGATAGATGGCACGAGAAGAGATGTTGTTTACCCAGGCCTACTTACAACTGGAGTTTGTGTGAAAGGGAGAAGGGCAATCCCGTCTCCGGCTACTGACACTCATCGTAAAGTCGTACCGCGTACTTTCACCAGTGACCACTCATACAAATGTCGGGCCCGGATATGACATTGAATACGGAGCTCCTTTGCTTCAGGCATGATCATTATGTAGTCATCTCGACCCAGCACGAGTCATGATATCCAATTCTTCCTTTTTGTGAACCTCCATACAGTAGACCTCCATTCGCCATCTTTTATTTCCAATGACTCGCA